AATTGTCAGCAGCAGCTGATCTCTCCCGTCAGATTAGACTTCACTCGCGTTTATGTCCATATCGATCAGATCCAGCTAGTTCTAGCTAATGATATGACTACCTGCTTATTAAAGACACCTAAACAATAAGTGTCGCAATGCAACCGGGTGAGGCCACAAAGTATAGCGCAGCATTATGCATTTGTTTACATGCCCACCGGAACCCCGAGGCATTACCAACAGATCAACGCACAATCAACCCATACAGGACATCTCTTTCTCCACACTAAGTGTTAGACATTAGAATGGACTATTCTTGTCTGTCACATACTCTTCTTGTCTGTCACATAAGTGGCGCAACTGAAGCGGTATTGCGCTAAAGGGAAATTATTTTGACCGAAGAGATTTAGATTTGCCGGCTAACGGGAACTCTGACGTCGCCATTTTGTGTGCTTCGCGGATGCGCTCGGCTCCTCTCGACTGCTGCTCGGGTCTGCTCGGTCAGCTTCCGGATGAGGAGGCATTCGTTCGACCAACTTACAGTAGATAACATTACAAACATTTTTAAAAGGGGCCATAATAGTGTAAATAATGTTTGTTTTGGCAGTTATAACTGAATGTAATGTTTTCTACTTTTTTAAATCTGGGAAGGCATTTGCCTTCATCAGATGGAAAGTGTCTTGACCAACAACTTAAGTATTTCTTATAGCTACACAAACAAGAACAAACAAACAATTGAAATGAAGAATAACATTGAAATTGTACAATATAATATTGTGGTGGTTCATCTTATAATTCAGTCTAGAGAATGCACCAGACAGCATCTAAGACCTGCAAAAATATAAATGTTCTAGGGGGAGGCCCCCCAAACCCTTCGTGCCTCATTTCGTCCGCACGCATTTTTCAGGGCAATCTCTATTGGGCTCAGGGCCATCTGTAAATTAGCTTAGATGGCCCACAATGTCATGCACTGATTACTTTAGTTTTCACTCTGTCCTGCTGCGGTGTCAAACACAACTCTTCACTAACACTCCTCATTATGCTCTATGACTCTAATGCAGTCATGTCCTCTTACAGTTCAAAATACTCAATTATCAAATCAGGTTTTCATTAGTAGGAACATGCTCGCAGATATCTGTATGAACATTCCCTTTCTTTTCGTTGCACAGGTCCGATGGCGTGATGAGAACCATGAACACAGAGAAACTCCTCAAGACCATCCCAATAATCCAGAACCAGATGGATGTGTTACTCGATTTCAACGTGAGTGTGTAGTATTTGCTGCACAGGGTGGCATCTTTAATATTTAGCTGACACTTAAAATTTGAATTTTGTGACGTAGTCTCAACGCCTCCGCCTCTCTTATAGGTCAATGCCAATGAACTGACAAATGGTGTTATCAACGCAGCCTTCATGCTTCTGTTCAAAGATGCCATCCGTCTGTTTGCAGCGTACAATGAAGGCATCATCAACCTCCTGGGTAAAACCCTGCTTTTGGGTTGGCATTAATCATTCTGACTTTAGAATTCATACTGATATGAATATGCAGAAAGCTTTCCTTTCTCCTCTTTATCATGGGTAGCATCTACAGAGGCTAAACACCATGGTTTCAACTTCTTGAAAGAAAATAATATTCAGTAGGCATAGTCTTCAAAACGTGAAACAGAAATGACTGCTTTGCAGATATTTTTGCAGTTTGAGTAATTGAACATATGATGGAACTTTTAATATTCAAATATCAAAACAATCTATATACATACCAGATTAATTTCACCACCTTTTATCAATTCGGTGCTGCTGAAACGTGTTTGCTTGATGTATATAACTTAAGAGATACTGTACCCATAAGAAAATAAATTGTGTTTTGAAAATATAAACTTATAAACCACAAAGTAACTGACTTAACAGAAATAAAAGAATTAATGATATTATTCCCATAATCTTTTTGTCGATCTTGTTAACAGAGAAATACTTTGACATGAAGAAAGTCCAGTGCAAAGAAGCACTTGACATCTACAAAAAATTCCTCACAAGAATGACTAGAATCTCCGAGTTCCTCAAAGTAGCAGAGGTAAGTTAGGACTGCAGACCAGCCAATCAGGGAGCTTGCCACGCATCAGATTTCCCATCAAAGTCTGATGATCTTTTCTCTTCCTGCAGCAAGTCGGGATTGATCGAGGGGACATACCAGATCTGTCTCAGGTAAGCCTACATCCAAAACCTTTTTTTGGCATCTGTGCTGTTACTTAAAGTAATTTGCTTTAATTGAAAACGCTTCCTTTTTACTGGATTTTCTGAGCTAAAAAGTGGAGAATTGCCAGGTTGTGGAATGATTTTATAATACATTTAGGCTGTGTATATAAAATCTGACATACCTGTATTTGCCTTGAAACTGCATACATTGGGTTTTTCTGTGGGAAATCATTATTGACTGACTTAAAGATGGCTTCCTGTGTGCAGTAAAGACACTAAAGTCAAATATGTTAAACCTTCGGTCTACCAAATCACAAATAAACCTAACTGGCATAACACCCAAACTCTGTATGCAAGTCTCAGATTTGGAAAGGTAGAGAGCTTACATAATTATTGTCCAATCTAATAGTAGCTTATTAAGACGTAAACTTCTGTACTTTGTGAGTGTTATATTGAGACGGCATAAATAATGTTTTGGGCTTAAATGTGTGCTTTAGTGACCTACATAATATGAACGCGGGAGATGTGGCTATGTGTCCTTTCACAGCCCCTCCCCTGGCCTGACATGTTTTAACACCAGGAGCTGTGCATGCTAGGCAGTACATGCATGTTCTCCTTATTGCACTGACAAACAGCTTCCAACTCTCACTGTCTCCTGACCTTGCCAGGCACCTGCTGATCTGTTCTGTTGTTCGTTATGTATTCGGTAGAACTGTGTAACTTTAGCAGAAAAGCCGCAATTGGAGAGCTTTCTTCTAAACATTTTGTTAATAATTTCTTGACTGTTGCCACCTTTTATTTTCTGTATTTTCCCTTCCTTCCTCTCTCCATTTTCAGTTTACAGTTGTAAGTATACAAACCTTTTCTCTCTGTTTTTTTGAGTATCTGTGTTTGTGGACCCGTGGCAATAACTTGGCATGCTTTATTGTTTTATTTTTTAAAGGACATCTTGTATTAGGTTTTCCTTAGTTTTTTAAACCTAATGTGTTTGAATCACATTCACACTAGGCCCCCAGCAGCCTGCTTGATACTCTGGAGCAGCACTTGGCCTCTCTAGAGGGAAAGAAAGTGAAGGACTCGACAGCAGCCAGCAGGTAGGTGTGCATCACTGGGTCACTGCTTTCTTCAGCAGCTTGATAGATGTTGACTTTGGATTGATATAAAGAAAAGGTAAGATTTTAACAATGCATGTGTGCAAGTCTCACATGTATTAAGGCTATGATATACTGGAGTTCTGTGACTTTTTTCTGTGTGTGTCCTTTGATTCAGGGCTAGCACACTCTCCAATGCCGTCTCCTCCCTGGCCAATACCGGCATATCTTTCACCAGAGCGGACGAAAGGGAGAAGCAGGCCGCCCTGGACGAAGAGCAGAGTCGCCTTCAAGCACTCAAAGTAAACTCTCCTCACTCTGCTCTTCTTTCAGATCAGTGCTCACAAGGCCTGCAGGCATTTGCTATTCCTTGAAGTTGAAGCAGTTGTGCCATTCATGTCTTTAGGACTCTCTTCTCATAATTATTTTTAGACTTGGATCTATTACATTCCAGATGTTAACCTGGCAGCCGAGCAACAAATCAGAATGTGCTTTAACTCTTATTTTGTAAAAGCTTTAAAACAACTCATAACAAAAGTTACTTGAAGTTCATGAGTATGTGGCTAATCTAAAACTACTCTTTTAATCTGCTCATTTATATGTTAAATTATAGGGCAACACTACAGTCCCCTTGTAACTGAGAGAGACATGAAATCATGATATCAGGTTGCAGCTGCAAAATTGCAAAATGCAAAGCTATAACGTATCTAATAGATTTGTAACAGTGGGGCGACCCCGTTAAGTGACTGTGATTGTATATTAACCCCTTTGCTCTCTCTATTATCATTTCCGTTCATCTGTTGATCTGCTTTACAATTATAATCTGTCTAACAGGATAATAGTCCAAAGCAAAATGCTGACAGATATTTCGAAAGGTTTGGACTGGGTAGTTGCATACAGATCGGCCTCTGCTTCGCTCACACTGTCCTCCTGATGTTAGGAGCAGCGTCTGAAGGAGCTTCACAAAAACCCTGCGGCAGCAACCACAGACTCCTCCACCGTCTTTGAGGAAGGCGGGACCATCAACTCAGCCCCTACAATCGACCTCTTTACCACCCCCAGCTCCAAAAACAGGCAAGGACCTATCATCTCATCTTAGACCAGACAATCTCATGCAAATGTTTCAGAACTGCAGATAAAAGCTGAAAGGTGATCTAAGAAATGTGTTTATTTAAGAGCATTAGTCAAGATTTGGACATTTTACAAAATGTTGGTAGATTGATGTTGCCAATTTAATTTAGGATAACTTTAATTCAAGTAAATGGCTCATGTTTCAAAATGGTTTCACAAGATTAGATTCAACTTTGATCACTTCATAGATATTGGGGTGGCCTAGCAGAACTACCCCTAAAGGCCCGGACACACCAAGCCGATTTCGGCTGTCGATAGATGTCTGGCTGTCGATGAGCGTCCTGTCGCCTTACTCAGATTGTTGTGTCCCGCACCGTCGTGTCTTTTCGGCCGTGCCGACACCTTCCGCCCCCGATTCATCATGTCGAATCGGGGAGCTGTCGGCAAAATAATTCACTCTGATTGGCTGTTCAGCTGCCTGTCAGTGTTATGATGTTGTATATTAATATAATCTTGGATTATAATTACTGATGCATGAAATGTGGTAGCAGCAGGTTGCCAGCCTCAATGCTTAAATAGTTTCTTTCTGCTTCAGAGAGCTGAAGTTTGTATATATCAGCAGTCTGTCTTCCGGTTGCCTCTTTTGAATGACAAATACACACTACCGCCGCCTGCTGGTAAGGAGAGTTATTGCCACTCACACATAAGCAGCACTGTACGTGCTTCTTGGCCGCCGGCTGAAGTCTTTGCGGTGTGTTCCAGTGCGACTGTTGGCCAAGACGCAGGAGACGTGAGGCGACACAACAGTCGTGTTCTGTCGGGACGTGTTCTTTGGTGTCAGCTTGGTGTGTCAGGGCCTTAACACTAGATCACATTTGTCAAACTCAAGGCCCGGGGGCCAAATCAGGCCCTTGGTGGATTTCATTTCGGCCCGCAGGATAATTTTTAATTACTATTAGATCTGGCCCGCCGGTATATTGCACGCACACCGTCACTCCATCCTGAGGGTTTCCTCAGCTCAGAGCCTGAGCCCAAACATTGATGAACTTGCACCCAAGATGAGATGCCAAGTATCTGCTTGAACTAGCATCACAGAGCAGCACACTGAGTTTAATGGATGTTTCCTTCTGCACTTTTTTTCTTGCGACAACAGGGCATGTTTGTTTTTTTCTTTGAGGGAAATATTTTTTTTTAAGCTTGTGGAAAAATATAATCATAAGAAATGACTCCGAAAAAGCTGCAGATAGAGCCATAAGAAATGAATGCAACTGATTATTTAATGTCTAATGTTGTTTTTATAGGCAATCTTTTAAGCTTTGTTAGTTCCAGGTATAATATGTGCAATAAGTTCATTTCAATAAGTTTTGCAATAAACATTGAACCTGTCCGGCCATCGACTAGTACCCATTTTTAGATTTTGGCCCACTGTGTATTTGAGTTTGACACCCCTGCACTAGATGAAGCACAATAAATGAAAAGTGGAAGTGTTTATGCAAATAGTGGCAAAATAACACTAGAATAGCATCGCTCAGGGCAAAACATGCAGTCGTTTTCTTTTTTATAATAGCAGACTTTTGTTGAACCTAATGTTTAGTCCAAAAAGTGAACAGAGTAA